TATTCTGTGCTCATGGATTGGAAAACTCAATATTGTTAAAATGGCCATACTACCCAAAGCAATCTAGAGATTCAATGAAATTCCTATCAAAATTCTAATGGCATTTTTCATAGAAATAGGACAAGCAATCCTAAAATTTTTAAGGAATCACAAAAGACCCTGAGTAGCAAAAGCAATCTTGAGAAAGAAGAATGAAGCTGGAGGCATCATGGCCCCTCATTTCAAAGCTATAGTAATCAAAATCGTATGGTATGGGCACAAACATACACACATAAATCAATGGAACAGAACAGACAGCCCAGAAACAAATGCATGCTTATATGGTCAACTAATCTACAACAGAGGAGGTGAGAATATACACTGGGGAAAAGACAGTCCCTTCAACAAATGGTACTGGGAGAACTGAACAGCTACATGCCAAAGAATGGAACTGTATCACTGTCTCACACCATACACAAAAATAAACTCAAAATGGATTAAAGACCTAATGTAAGACCCCAAACCATAAAACTCCTAAAAGAAAACATAGGCAGTAAACTCTTGGACGTCAGTCTAACCAATATATTTTCGGATCTGTCTCTTCAGGCAAGGGCAACAAAAGCAAAAATAAACAGATGGGACTATATCAAACTAGGAAGCTTCTGCACAGTGAAGAAAACCACCAAAATACGAAAAGGCAGACTACAGAATGGGAGAAGATAGTTGCAAATGCTACTTCCAATCAGGGGTATTAATACCCAAAATACATAAAGAACTTATACAACTTGACCTCAAAAATCCAATCTGAGTAAAAATTGGGCATGGGACCTGAATAGACATTTTTACATAAAAAAATATACAGATGAGCAACAGACTTGAAAAGATGCTCAACATCATTAATCATCAGGGAAATGCCAATCAATCAAAACCACAATGAGATATCAACTTGCAACTGTCAGAATGGCTATTATCAAAAAGACATGAAAATAACACGTTAGTGAGGATGTAGAGAAAAGGGAACACTTGTACACTGTTGGTGGGAATGTAAATTGGTACAGCCACTGGGGAAAACAGTATGTAGGTTCCTTAAAAAATTAAAAATAGAAATGCCATATGACCCAGCAATTCCACTTCTGGGTATTTACCCAAAGAAAATAAAAACACTAACTCCGAAAGATTTATGTGCCCCCCTCATGATCATTGAAGCCTTATTTATAATAGACAAAATATGGAAACAACTTCAGTGCCCGTTAATGTATAATTGGATAAAGAAGATATATATATATATGTATGTATGTATATATATACAGATATATATATTATTCACCCATAAATATATATGTATATATTATTCACCCATAAAAATAATGAAATCTTGCCATTTTTGACAAAATGAAAGGAACTTGAGGGCATTATGCTAAGTGAAATAAGTCAGAGAAAGACAAATACCGTATGATTTCACTTACATGTGGAATATGAAAAACATACAAAAAAAAAAAAAAACAAGCTCATAAATACAGAGAATAGACTGGTGGCTGCCAAAGGTGGAGAGGCATGGGAGAAATGGGTGGAGGGGGTCAAAAGGTCAAACTTCTAGTTATAAAATAAGTAAGTCATAGGGTTGTACAGCATAGGGACTCTAGTTAATAATACTGTACTGCATATTTGAAAGATACTGAGAGAAAATCTTAAAAGTTCGTATCAGAAGAAAAAAGCACTTCTAACTATGTAAGGTGACAGATGTTAACTAGAATTATGGTGGCCATTGCACAATGTATATAAATGTCAAATCATTATGTTGAAGACATGAGACTAATAAAATGTTTTACGTCAATATGCCTCAATTTAAAAATAAATGAATGAATGAATGAATGAATGAATAAATGAGAATGACCAGAAATCACAAACAAGCCAAAGTTTTTCAAGGTCACTTTCAATATCTACAATTTTACTATGAAAAATAAAACGAATCCATTGTATAGATAAACATTTATACTATTCAAATGTTTGTTTCCTGTTGCAGAAGAAGCCATCAATTTAAAACACTTTCTATTTTTATCATCACTAACAGAACAGAATGAGATTTAAAAATTAAGAGTTAATGGGATAGTATTTAGAAACACACATGCACACACACTTTTATTTTTCCCAATTGAACAAAGAAAATGCTCTAGGGAAACTGCAGACCTGATTAAAAAGTCTGGTAATCTTTTCCCCTTTGATTTTCTGCCGCACTTACTGTCTACATGAATCATTTGGCGTGAGTGAATTGTCTTGTATCTTTTCATGCATGTATTTCTTATCTGTACAACAAGAAAATGAGCTCTTAGAAGGAAGTTCCCTGTGATCCTAAGCCCTACACCTTATACATAACCTGAGTGCCTTCATCACTGACTGACATGCACATTTGCAGGGAGGAACCTGGTGAGATACACTTAAAACTTTTATTCAGTGATTTACAAAATGTACAATATTTACAAAATGTAGGCATTAATCCCATATTGACATGAATGCTATGGGGAGTCTGAAAATAAATAAGTGGCACATAGGTTAATGAACACATCACAGCTCTTTGCACTTCAAGCCGTCACCAACCGTGGGATTTAATGGAAAGTTTAGTGTGGTAGAAAAGTTACACGGATGACCAGTCCTGGGCCTTCCACATGAATGGCCCTTCCTTGGCTCCTTGAGGCTGGGGATGGCGAGCAAATCACTTTCTTTCATGAGAACGAAACACCAACCATTCTGATAGGCACACGAGGTGCGTGCGGTCACATCTGTGTAGCGTTTGCAGTGATTCTCCCGGGGGCCGGATGAGTCCTCATCCCTGTGAACCTGGTCCCTCACACCAGACCGGGAGGCTTTGGAGTGGTCACTTTCTCATTAAGAACCAACATTTGGACTTTGTCTCTTACTCAAATTGCATGCAGTACTTGGCAGGTATCAGTGGAGAGTGGCCATGCACAAAAATGGTACTTGTAGATATGTACAACATCAAATTTTCACCGTCTTAGAGCATTTATAGCAGTTAACCTGCCACCTCTTTTAGCAAGAGGAATGAACTTGGAAGCTGTACCCTCCACCCCTTGAAGAAAAAAACACCATCTAGGGGACACACATAAATGGCATCCTGCAGAGGCAGAACTAGACAAACTCCACATGATCAGATGGACAGATTCCCGTGGCCAGGTGTGGAAGTTTTCCTAGGGGTGGTCATTTCATCTTCCCTTCCCTCTTCAATCCCACCTCACCCTATATATCCTAAATTGGAAGGAAAAGGCTTCCTGTTACTGAGCTTCTTAGAGCCTTAGTACCTTCATCTGTAAAGTGAAAATACTAGTAATATTCCCTAGAGGGTGCTTGCAGGTTTTATATGACTTAATGTGTGTGTGTGTGTGTGTGTGTATATAAAGTGCTTAGCATAGTGCCTGCCACATAAGAGGTGTTTAGTAAATGTCTTGTTTTCTCTCCCTTTACTTCCCTCACCCCAATTATAAGCAACATATTGATAAGCCTACCAAACTCTGTTTTAAGGCCATTTGATGCAATTTAGATTATTTCATATCAGAGTTACCACTGTCAGTTCATATTTGGTAATCCCCTGAGGAGGTCTCATTTTATGAGCCACAGACATTTTCCTGTGCAAGGCAGATGGACCCTGACAATACTCTCCTCTTTATCCGCAACGGTTCCACCAAATTTCATGCAAATATGCCCCATAACCTTGCAGAGGAACTCATACCATTGATGCTCACCACCTGAACACTTCTGGGACAATACCACTGAGGAAACAGTGAGCAAAAACCCTTGAGGCCAACACATTCCTCTTGCTCAAACATAAGTTAATTTTTTTTTCAACACTGGTGCAAGTATTATAGATAACTTTGAACAAACATATATTACAAGTTCTACCACTGTTGAAAAATAAGTACTCTAATTTGGTAATTTTGTCCAGAATAAAGAATATTTTATGATATATTTAAGTTTCTAGTTATGGCATATAAAAATAAATATTGTATAAATGATTTACAAGGAAGAACAAGTTGTAACTCAGGCCAAAATTATAGGAAGGATGGCAAAAATTTTGCCATCTACTTCAAAAGCAATCACCTAAAAGAAAGAAAATAATCCCACTGGATCTCCTTATTAGTCTCATCATCACCCAACTGGCCTACCTACTTCTCCTCCTGGGATATTATGTCTTCTTTCCCTATCAATCTTGAGATAATGCGATCCTTAAAGTCCCTGGGGATTTGAAAGAGGAAGAACCCGGGAGGGCTCTCTGGCAGTATGAAGTGCAGATGGGAGATCTGGCTAAGCCACTGACCGGGCCCTCACAGTGAACTTGGGTCAACCTCCACACATCTCTTTTCTTTCATTCTGAAATCCTCTCTCTGTCTAGTTTAGCTATGCCTGAATAGAACCCCATGAGTGGAGAAAACTCTATCCTGCTTTGGGACTCTTTGGTTACCCTTTGGCCCAGGTAGAATTTAGGATCTCATGGAGCACAGTGAGGTGCCAAATCAAGGCCAATCTCACCAGGTATAATGAAAGGACACGGAGCTACTTTATGGATGCCAGTTCCATTAAGTTGGGAAAGATCCTTCTCCAGCTACCTCTCCCCCTATGCAACAAACTTATGATTGCCTTTTATTTCCTGCACAGAGCAGAGGGAATATGATTCCCACCACCGGGAGAAGAATGTTGGGAAAATTAAATTGGACAACTGCTTACTACTTTTCCAGGGACTCAGAATCTCCAAGGAAATAGTCCATTCATTTTGGAATCAAAGTTTTAACATTCTAAAGCTATAAATAAATTCATGATTATATTTAAACCAGTGGTCCTTTACCTTTCTCTTAAAGAACACACATCTATGCATGTCCATATAAACACACTGTCTAACATCTCAGAAGGTCCCAGGACCTCCTGTGCCTCATGTATGTCTTCCAAATTAAGAGCCTCAGATCTCAATAAAAATGCAGAACTATTTCCTGGAGTGAAAAGACAGGTTTGTGGTATAAAACTCAGGGTCTGTTTTGGCGGCAGGCTGGCTTTGATGAGGTCTTGGACTTGAAATGACTACCCTGAAGCAATGCTTGTTCCTCATGACAGGTGGAAATGCCTGGCTGTGAAGACATCTGTGAGTGTCATGGTTTCGCACGTGTAACTATTGTCAAGCCAACGACTCATGCATGACCATGGACCATGGTGATCCCCATGGATTGCTACTATACATGGCGCATCGCAGCTGCTATAATGTGAGTCCCAACCACACCCACAAGCAGGACACTATCACTGACATGCAGTGTGGGTGCCCAATTGTCTGATTTATGGGTGACGTTGTGGCAAATGTGGCATCAGTTTCATTTCGGGGGAGTGGCAAGTTACAGATATTTCCTTCACAACAGGAAGTGCAGACCTGAAAGAAAGGAAGAGAAACAGAAGGCTGATGAGAAGCTGGCAGATCTTGGAAGGAGACAAGGATTTTGGAAGGAACGGTCTCCCTCACAGTAAGACTGAAATGACAATTACCTGTTCCACAAAAGAGGCACCAACCCTGCATTCAAGGAAGTGGGATGAAATTTCATCTGGAAGCAATGTGGTCAACTTGAAAACCCCCTGGACTAAGCTTCAAGGAACATGAGTTCTGTTTTTGACATCCCTCTAGGTGGTTATTACAGGGTTCTACAACCTTCCTAGGTCTCAGCTTTTCTATGTGTGAAATGGGGATTATAATACCCTACAATCTCAAAGAAACCCCTTCTGACTATTTGAAGAAGCTGTTCAGAGGGTAAACTTTCACTTGCCAAATTTCCATAGTGTAAGTGAAGTGGAAACAACCCAACTTAAACTTAACTATTTACTTTCATTAGAACTGTCTACATAACTACCACCATTCTTGTGGGAGAGTTAAAGTTTGGAGGGTTTTCATTAATGCAATTATTCCTGCATTATACTACTTTATTCAGGGACTGTAAGAAAGAAAGAAACCTAAAGGATTGTTGGCTGAAGTTATTTTGGGCCATGGCTACACGGAGTACAGATCAGTAGCTTCAGCACCACCTGGGAGTCTCTTAGAAATGCAGAATCTCAAACCTCACCCCAACTTTAGCGAATCAGAATATGCATTTTAACAAGATCCCCAACTGATCTGTATGCACAGTAATATTTGAAAAACTCTCTGGGGTGGTCAATATCCTATTCAGTCATTATCCTGCAAGGATTTGAGGCTGGTCACAGTTGACCTGGGCTAGGAAGACATTATAATCTTGAGGAGAGAAACTGAAGGTCAGAAGTGAGCTTGAATTCTCTCTGTCAGACATAATTACCAGCTCTGTGACCTAAGCACATGATGTCACTTCTCTGATCTTTAACTTTATCCATGGTGAAGTAGCCACAACGAAGCCTGAGAGCCAGGCTTGCTAGAAGTGTGGCGGGGAGTGAGGTAAAACCCTTGAGTTTACCTTTTATATTTCAAACCAGGATCTGCAGATCATATTTTAAAATTGAATTCTTAGTGTATTTCACTAAGTGTACACTTAGTGTATTTCAAGTTGCTTGAAAATTGGGTGTCTTCTACTAAATGCCACTAAACATGGCATTCCAGGGTTTTGAGAGTAGAAGTTGCCTCCGACCACCAGGAAGGCAGCCTGATGGGGAGAAGCGAGCCAACTCCAAATAAAGGCCAAGGCCTGATATGTAAGATTATATGTGGGGCCAGCTCTGAACAGCCAGCAGGAGATCGGGGGCATTCCCCTCTCCAACCACAGTCAGGCTGCCTTTCTCTGGTCCTTTATATTCTCCTTCAAGGCTGCACTTGAAGTTCATTTTACGCTCAATGCTTCTGTATAGGCACCGGATGGAGTTTAAGTGGAGTAAACCCACAAGGAGATGGTTCTCTGATCACCTACTGAAATGATTCAGGAGCCAATGGATGCCTTCCCCAAGTCACCATTCCAATGAAGACACAAGCCTCACTTCACAGACAGTTATCAAAGCTAACCTGCTGTGGCCATCCTCAGCTGAATGAATTGTTGCTACATCTGCAATGCTTTACCATTGAGGACATAACTGGTCCCTCATTCCTCTTCCTTCTGGTGGCTTTATTACTTTCTTCTGAGTAAAGAAAGGGCTTACAATAATTTTCAATACCCTCTTGGTGTTGTGTTTACATAATTTATACTGGTTTTCCTATGCTCTGGTATAAATTTATCCTCTTAGAGCAAACCGGAAAGGAGAATCTTCACATAATGCTATATTAAAGACAGTCAAAAGCCAGGCTACTTTGGGGAGTGCGAATTTGCTCATGAGCTCTGGCACGCATCTGCAGTGGAGGAAGGCTGACTATGCTGTACCCGTCACTTGCTTTGATGCCCAGACCTTGTGGCCTTCATGTTCAGAATCTCTGCAGCCAGTGGACAAGCACTCTTCCAGTGGAACGCAGCGTTTGGTGACAGAGATGCTGTTTCCTGTGACTTCCATTGTATGCTGAGTGTAGCAGTATCTGGTCTCTGTCAACAGAGAAAATATGTTTCAGTTGAGATGGGAAATGTTGGCCCAACCTGCCTGGAAGGGAAACAACAGGAGTGTTAACACTACAAGTCCTGAAGAGATTTAACAGCACATGAGATGTACACTGTGTTGAGTTTATGTCCAGTCCCAAAGAAGTCCTTGGAGAGATACATTTCACTGCGGTAGGAGGAGAGCGTTCTGAAGAATACTGGTCTCTCTGCCTGTCGTCATCCCCAGAAGCCAAGATATAATGGTATCATTCTTTGCCTTTCAAAAAAATTTTGCCACTGTATTGATTTTTATTTTTAGGGGACGAGAGGTTTGGAAGGATGATTAGGATGTGAGAATCACCAATTTTCAGGAAGACAAAGGGCTGAAAAAGTTCAAAGAATACAGGTTAAAAAAAAGAAGTTAGGCAGGTAACAGTGGTTTTCAAGGAGTTAAAAGACTATAGCTGATGCTGGAGAGTGTGTGTGTGTGTGTGTGTGTGTGTGTGTGTTTTGGAAACAGCTATTTGCTTGTAAGGGCTGAACAATTAAAAATAGATTCATTTTATCTTCAGAAAATGACTTTATCCAAAAGAAAGAACTTCTTGACAATGAGCATAGCTGGATCCTAGAATTTAATCCAGGTGAAGGTGTTGCAAAACTGAGGAGCATCATTTCTCCCTAGTATGATTTCTAGGATGGCAGATGTAGACGGACCATGACATAAGTTTCTAGACATCCCTCAAAATCTTAGGAATCCAAAAAGTTAAGATTTCTTCTAAACTACCATGGAGAATTTTTCTACTTCTAATTTAAAGACTAAAGAAAAATGGCTTTGTCAAAGTAATTCTTTAAGGCCTCTAGGCAGTGTTCAGCTTTCTAAGCCTGGGATTTAGGAGAATGTTCCTGCTCCACTTTCAGATTGAAAAAGAAAATGAATAATTCTTAAGAAATGTCACTGAGCTGTTTTTCATCCATATCTTGGATTCAATTTTGCATGCTTTATACATTTTGGATATTTAGTGGCTAATATGAAATTATGACTTTCTATGATATTATTTATTAGGCAATAAAAATTCCCCCACCAGATTCGGTCACAATTTTGGCAGCTTTTAACCAAAGTACTAAAGTCCAAAGAAGGAAGCTTAAGAATTTTAGGCCCTGAGGATGAGCCAACCGGAAAGGAGCAAACCGGAAAGAGAGGTCTGTACCACACTGACACATCTTGGGAATCATGAAAATTCAGGGTTTTAACAATCTCCCTAACCAGGAACCTGACAGGAACCTGAGTGGCCTCTGATTGAATCTTACCAAGGACAGAGATTTCCCTAATGATTATACTACTGGGGGGTGTACCTGGGCTGAGTTTGGTCAATGCCCTCCCCCAAATGCTTTCCCCACACTGCACCCTGACCAGAATTTTGTCAGTGGGAATCAGGTCAAGAGAGCCCTAGCTAGCTCAGGGTCCTGGAGAGCTCTTTGGGAGTGAAGTAAGGCCACCCTATGAGCTCACAGGAAAAGTTGAAAGTTTTGCACCTGGCAATGATTCTCTCAAAGTCCTAAAATATTTTAAAATTGGAGTGATTGTTTTTCCGATGCAGAGGAGGTAGAAGATCTCTGATTTTTTAAGCCTGTGACAGGTTTTAACACATGGAGACTGGTAGCCTGAGAGATTTACTTCTCTCAGGGTTTACTTCTTTGGTATCAGACTTGGACATTTATGGTCATGATAGGTACAACTTTCCCACCCCATCCCACCTTCAGATGTTCAAGAAAGCAATAAAGACAGGAATGCTATTATCTCCTGTCTCCTCTTCATGCAGACAACCAGGAGTAGATGCCAGAGGTTTTATTGCTCCAAAGGTAAATCTGAGTAGGTAAGATCATACATTTATGGAATAAGTAAACCATTACGTGGTTTCAGTTTTAGAAATTGGGTTTGTCCCCCAAGTATTAAATTCTCTTGTCTTAAGTAAGCCTCGAATAACAATTGGTGAACTTGCTATAACTATTTTTTGTTCTTACTTTTGTGTCTATAATAAACTCTCTTTTTATTAATTGGAAATTTATTCCACTGTAAAGATAACAACTAATGAGCTTTTTTTTTTTTTCAGGGAAAATATGCGAAAGTCCAGTACCTAATAAGCTAATTCTTGCCATCCTGGGGAGAGAAAAATGATCTGCGATGAGGCTAAATAAAAAATTTTCTTGCACTCACCAAATCTAACCCATGAAACAAAGATATTTTGAGAATACCCCATTACTTCCAGCAGCAGCTATCCTAGATCTGAAGCGTTAATCCATTCCACTTCTTATCTTACAGAACCCCTAGGTGAGTTATGAAATGTTAACATAAAAAAAAAAGGTTCTACAGTGAAATAAGTTTTGGAAATATTCAAATAAAGTTGAACAGGTTTCTTTAGGACACAACTTAGGAGAGCCTTGAATATGTATTGTGATCTCCAAGGCGGGTGGGGGGTGGCAGGTAGCATTTCCCAAGCAAGACGAGGTGGACCACATGTGGCTTATCACTGGGCTGTAGAATTGATAAAAAAGGAGTTTCAGCCACAAAGCGTTGCGCTCCATGCATTTTGAATAATCCTTGGGTTAGTAGTGAGGTTATATGAGAATCAAGCCTGCTGATAACTTCACACTAAAAGGATTTCAAAGGCTTTTATCTGAAAGATAAAAGATGGATTTGAATTTCTACCAGGTTAGTTTTGGCCTCTAACATCTCATATTCTCCAACTGCATGGTATTCCCAGAGGTGATGAAACAAAAGTCTTTTACTGTAAGACTCACATGCATGCAACTGAAAGCAGAACTGGGTATAAGAGAGCTTAATCGACTAGTGGAAAACACAAAATACATAATTTTTCATGAAATACATACACACACACACACACACACAGAAATTTCATAACCTAGAAATTTAAAAAAAAGGTTCAAAGCTAAAATATAAATTTCCATTTACCCACCAATATTCAGTTTCTAATAATGGAAGCTGTATTTAAACAAAATATACACCAAATGATTTGAATTAAAAATGACCAACTCTCTGGGAAAAGGCTTTCTCACCACTCAGTTATTCCCTTTGGGTCCACTAGTTTTGTTTTTTTTACAAACATCTGTAATGATTAAAGTGATGCTAGAGAACCACTCACCATGTGTTAGAAAATTAATGGGAGGAATATAGCTTTAATCATAGTACTTCAAATGATATTGAAAAAATAAGTCTAGTGGCAGCTGCCAGCACAGTCCCAGCCTGATTCTTGACTGTGCCCTCACCCTTCACATCCAGCTCTGCCCCTTCCAGGTCCTCCTCTGCAATGACCTTTTGCCTAAGTGTCCAACTGGATGCCCTTCGCCCATGTCTGACCCCAAAGATTGTCTTTGCAGCTCTGGGATCTACTATATATAACGTCCTCTGCGTGCTTCTCCTGGGCTTCAGAGTTTTGTCTTCTAGATTTTCTCCTGCATTTCTGGTCTCTTCCTACACTTTCCTTAACCTGAACGTTGATACTCTCCCATGTTCTGTTCTTGAAACTCTTCTCACTCAAGTGACTTCATTCAGCCTCTGATGACATTATCTTCGGTCTGATACTCTCTCCCAAACTATAGAACAAATCTGCAGCTATCTCCTGGACATTGCCAGCAGCACCTCACACCTCATGTAGCTCAAACAAATCAAATTCCCCCCATCTGTTTATCTTCCTGTGTTTATCTTAGGAAGGGACATCCTGAGATGTGGCACCTCCAACTTGGACTAGGACATTCAGAATCAGCTCAGATTTCTCTTTCCAAGCTGGGTGTCTCCAAGTCCCCTGAAATGTCTCCATTATCCATCTAATCTTTCTGTTCCATTTTCCATTTTCCCAGTGCAGGACCTCATCATTTCCTGTCTCCTTTGTCTCTGACTTCTCTCCTTTCTAATGCAGGTGCCGGACAAGCACCAGATATGTTACTGAAACCAAGGTCAGATCATGCCTCTCACTGTCTATGAGAGCCTGAGTGAACCCTACCTGTTCAGGATCCCTGGATGCATACTGCTTGGTTTATTTAGCCTACTGGAGTGGCCAGTAGGTGGTGCATTGCTTTCTCCCGGCTCCTAAAGCTGTGTGTCAAGAGCGTAAGAGTAACTATGCTTCCCTGCTAAAGGAACCAATTACATTTATAACTCACATCTTGAAACTCAGCACTTGTTATTATTCAATGTTCCCCCTTGATCTAGGACCAGACTACCTCATCATTGCTTGCTGAATACCTTGAGACACCACATTACATCTTTTGACCATTCTTCACACCAAAATTTCCCCCCATCTTCTGCTCCTGGGAACCTGTTCTTCAAGGTTCAATCTAAATGTGATGAATTCTGTGAAACCTTCCTTGATTTTCTTCCAACCAGGTTCACAGACCTTCTTAGTTTCCTCATTTGGTATGTCTGGCTTTCCTTCTAAGTCAGAGTTTCTCAACATTAACACAATTGACATATATACACATATATATGTATATATATATATTTTACTGTTTGATTTTTTTTAGTTAGTGTTTTTATTATTTTGAGATAATTGTAGATTCACATGAGCTTGTAAGAAATAATACAGAGGGATCTCATGTACTCTTCACCCACTTTTCCCCAAATGGCAACACATTGCAAAACTATGGTATAGTATCACAATCAGGATATTGACATTGCAGTCAAGACACAGAGCATTTCTAACTCCACAAGGATCACTCATGTCAACATTTTATTTTCACACCCTCATCCCACTTTCCCCCAACCCCTCCTTAATCCTTGGTAACTACTAATCTGTGCTCCATTTCTATAATTTTGTCATTTTAAGGATGTTATATAAATGGACTCATACAGCATGTAAACTTTTGGGGTTAGGCATTTTTACCCAGCCTTATTCACTTGAAAGTTATCTAGATTGTTGTATCAACAGTTTGCTAACTTTTAATCCTGAGTAGTATTCCATGCTATGGATGTACCAAGGTTGGTTGAACCATTC